CCTGCCCATGCCCTGTGGGCATTCAGATTTGGGCTTCCTCTCAGTCTCTCCCACCCTTCTCTCCTCCTCTTAACCTCATCCTTACCCCCACTCAATTTCCTATCTCTCCTCTGGACAGTACCCCCAGATTTTCTGAACTTTCCTGCCTCCTCCAGTCACTAATCATGTCACAATCCTGCTCAAAAACCAGCAGTAGGAGCTGGAGAGATGGCTCAGCAGGTAAGAGCACTGGCTGCTCTGACAGAGGACCTGGGTTTAATTCCCAGCACCTAACAGTCATCTGTAACTCCAGTTCCAAGAAATCTAATGCCCTCTTCTGGACCTTTGTGGGTACTGCATGACACGGGTGCACTTACATACATGCAGGTAATACCCTCATACACCTAAAATAAAAATAATAAATAAAATGTTAAAAAAAAATAGCGGCTCTCATTCCCTTCCTAGACTTTACTGGACTTTTATAAAGTGTTACAGCTGGGTGTGGTGGCCCATGCTTTTAATCCCAGCACTCGGGAGGCAGAGGCAGGTGGATTTCTGTGAGACTGAGGCCAGTCTGGTCTACATAGTGAGATCCAGATCAGCTGGGACTACAGGGAGACCCTGTCTCAAAAAAAAGTGTTACAATATAGTATGTCCTGTTTATAAATGTCAGAGAACAGCATAACATACAGTCATGTATCAACTCCCAAATAAGAATAAGTCACTTCCAAGTGCATTAAAGCCCCGTCACACACCCTTTCTCTGTCCCTTGGACGGCTTAATCTCCAAAATTTACTATTTATCATTCCTGTGAATATTTTTATATCTGTATTATGTATGTAAAAGTCCTTAAGTAATGTATAGTATTGTGTTGTGTCTTTTAAACTTTGTATATCTGGCACAAGACTGTGCTGTCTGCAACTTGCTTTTTAAAAAAGGTATGTCCAATACTATTTTTATTTTTAAAATTGTATTTGATTCAGGCCAAGTTCACCAGTCCTAAGGGTCCAAGTCTGAGTTTTCACAAGTCAAATGGACAGTGTGACTTCTGTGATCCATCCTCATGGATGTTGTGAGGCTCATGGGATGCGGACAGCTTTTTGTGGTCACTGTTTGCTCAGGTTCCAGACAATGGGTATCCAGCCTGTGTCCCCCTTTTCACTTACAGTCAGAGTTGCTGTGAACATCAGCCCCTATTCTGCAGCTTACTCCTGTTCATTTTATCCAACCATGCAGTGCCAGGTGGCTGTCCAGCCTGGGTTCCCCGGATGCTCCCAGATCCAGGGAACGTCTTCCTAGCCTGCTACCATTCCTGTTCTCTTCTACTGCCATGTGCCTGAGCCCACAGCTGCCCCTTCACCTTTCTCCTCCAGGGCTCCAACCTGACCTCTCCTCTGCCCACCTTTGCCAGGAAGCCTTCTCCAGCAGCATGGGTCATAGAATATATCTTCTGAGCCAGTATTGGAAGTTGTGAGAGCCCAGGTAGACAGAGACAAACCCAGGGCTGTCCCTGAGGGGAAGGGAGATGGGGCTTGCTCTTGGGAAGGCAGGCACGGGTGGACCAGCAGTGTGAGAACAGGCTGGGACATGAAGTTGACTGCTCTGGGTCTTGAGGGATGTGTAGGAGTTTGTCAATGAGAAATGGTGGGAAGGCATGGCAGGCTTAGGGAAGAGCTGAAACAGTCCATTCTGGGATGGAGATGTGCGCAGGGTGGGCAGGCAGTGCAAGAGACCGGAAAGAGGGCTGTGAGGAGCCTTGACTGCGATCACCCACCTGGCATTCTCCAGGGATGGCTGCGTGTGGGAGCCAGCGGAGGAGGTGTATCATTTGATACTCACCGAGTGCCAGGCTCCAGCAAGGAGCGCTTACCTTACACCCATTCCTCTTTGTTTTCTTAAGGAGACAGATACTATCTTGCCCCCATTATGCAGGTGGAAAGACTAGGGCTCAGAGAGGCTCTCTAGTCTGTGACTGAGCGCCAGGAGAGGTAGGACATGCGTCCCACTTTTTAGCCAGGTGCTGCCTAAGGCAAGTAGACACCTGGAAGATAGTCCTGCAGGAAGCGGGTCACCGGGAGGGGGCAGCCAATCCCAGAGGCAGGAACACCAAGGGGGAAAGAGGGGTTGGAATCCTGGCTCCCGCGGCTTGACCCAGGCCAGCCTCCTCTTTTCTGGGCCTCAGTTTCCCTACTGCACAGTGAACGCAACCATTTCAACACGGTTCCTGCTGGCCGGCTCAACAGTCTGGGGATTCCGCGCCCCCGCGGCGCGCGCTGTGTAGCCTTGTTACAGTAGCCTGCCCTCTCTGGGCTACCGGCCGCAGATTTCCAAGCGCTCTTCTAGCTGGACCGCCAGCGCCGCCAGCCACGGAACCCCTCCCCTCCCTTCCCCCAGGGTGGCGGGGGCGACGGCGGGGGCGGGTCCGAGCGGCCCCCGTGGTCCCCCCACACCCCGGGCCCCCGGCCGGATCCGTGCCTGGTTTTGGGCGCAGCCGCTCGGCCCCCTCCCCCGCGCGCATCTCTCCGCCCTCCGCCCCC